AAACAGCACCTCACAGTTGTCCTCTGGTGCTGTTATTCAAGGCTCTTCACTTACATAAAGAAGAGCTGTACTGTAGGAATAAAATTTATAGCAAAAAACACATTTGTAATGTTGTTCATGACTCTTGAAATGTCCTTAGAGCCAGAAGGGCTTACCTAATGTCCAAAATAAATGTACTTTTTAAGGAAACTTAATCATTTTGTTCCAATCTCAGTAGAATCTACATTATATAAAAGAAAAAAATATTAAGTATTTATTAATGGAATATTATTTTGGACTATTATGTTACTTATGTATTCATCTTGGCACCAACTTAAAGGGCCACTGCTTTCCAGTGTTTCACTGGCCACTGTTTGTTATGTTGGCTTTTTAAAAAACTCAATGAAATATTGTGTGATTAAGTCAGTTTCAACAATGCACAGTGTTACTGCTTAAGATGCATAGTAAAAGGGGCCAGCCAAATAGCTCAGCAAATAAAAGCACCTGCAAGAAGACACAGGGCCCGGGGATTCGATCCCCGGGCCTGCCATGCCAGCCCCGCCCCTGCGGCATGCTGAGACTGCGAATGAGACTGGGCATGGTGGCACACACCTGTAATCCCAGCACTTGGGAGGCTGTAAACAGGCAGATCACTGATTCCAATCTAGTAGTGAGACCCTGAACACCCTGTAGACCCTTCCCTAAAATACAGGAAAAAAAAAAGAAATGCATAATAATGGTTGTGTGGATCCAGCTTGAGCTGGTTCACAGCAATTTGTCACATTCCCACCTTTCTGTACTTTTCTTGACATAAGTATTTTATGAATGAGTGGGCTTTAAGGCCACAAATAAATGTTTTTTACATCACTGGATTTACAAGGATTTTTACATGCTAGAAGCATGGGCTGCATGAGCTCCACATTACTCATTTTATTCTGAACATGGAAAATATACAGATTTGCTAAGCGACAAGCTGCTGTTGCACTTGATAACAAAATTTGTGATTAGACAGTAGCATTGTACAGTTTTACCACATCCAGCAACATATATGTTTAAAAGTGAACATTTCTCCTAACACTTAGCTGTTTCAGGCATCCAGTTCATTACATATACCCACATAAACCTTCTTAGTTTACAGTGGAGTTATTTGAGACAAATTACATTTATCTTTATATTTACACAAAGAAGACTGAAATATTGTTTTTTCCTATTGAGATAAATGCTGAGTTAGTGCATTCTTTGGTCAGGGCCAGCTAGTAGCAAAGTATATGACATGTTCAAAACAGTTATTGATGTTGAATGAAAATATCTCCTCAACACACTTATAGGATGATATTCTATAGTATTGAATGACTGATCATCTTGAACAAGGTCATCTGTTGACCTGAAGGTTGCCAATTAGCCTTTGTAATAAGTACTAGAAAAGCTGTTCTTGAATGCTAAACATATCTTATGTTTATATGATATGCCTAAGTTTTAAGAATTCATTTGTTTAGTTCTGGGGGAGAAAATGATCGTCCTAGGGTGGTGGTGGTAAACCTATGGTATACATGCCACAATAGGCTGTTGGTTGTCACTGAAAGCTCTAAAAAGTTCACCATCACTGTCCTCGGGAGTTGGAGGCCTTCAGTAAATATGTGCTGGCTGGGTGTACTGGCACCTGCTTGTTAACTCAGCACTCAGGAGGCTGAGGCAGGAAGATTGCCATGAGTTTGAAGCCAGCCTGGGCTACACAGTGAGTCTAAGGCCAACCTGAACTACATAGTGAGACCCTGTCTCAAAAAAAAGCATTGACCGTCCTGTGAGGGGGACCAAGAAACAAAAGAACAAACCTTGTTCTTTTATTAATGGTAGCTCTTTATCTCAACCACTATAGTAGGACTTACCTCCAGAATATATGATCTGACCCATGTCCTACAATTGTAGTTACCATATTTAAGGAGGATATTTACATCTATGTAGTGGTTACATAAACTCTGAGTGTTGCCTAATAATCTTAGTGCTTTTTTTTTTTTTTTTGGTGGTACTGGGAATTGAACTCGGGACCCTGCGCTTGCCAGGCAAGCACTTATTCTACTGAGCTATCTCCCTGGGCCCCATGCATTTCTGTGATGAACTCTTCTACTTTCCACTGTAGTTTCACACTTTCTTTTCCATTTGACTTAGGCCTCTGATCACTCACCCTTTTCTCACCTCACTCTGTGTGGATAACTACTCCTTAGAGAAAACATCAGTGTTTGGACAAGATATCATGTCTGCATCTTTTACTATAACTACTAGGAAGACAGCAATATGCAAAGTATTAATTATTGTAACTGTCTTACTAACCTGTTTTGAAAGTGTCTCATTGCTATTTGTTTCTCAATAAAATTAACTTTTAAAAAAATCTATGTGAAGGGAAGTCATCCAGTTTCCAGCCACTGATCTCCAGATATCTTCTCTCTATATCCATTTGTTCTATTTTCCATGTTACTATAGTGGAGGAGGTGGCCCTTTGCCAAAGCTAATGTCTTCATGTCCTCTCTTGATTACATTTCCTGTATATGGCTTCTTTTTATCTACAACTGATTACTTCTTATAAGCATTAAAACCAGCCCAGTTCTTGCTTACTTTAAACAAAATTGCCTTCCTTTACTCTGCCTTCAAATTATATGGGCAAAGGCAGCCCATTCCCCTTAAGGTAATGCTTAATGCTTAGTCATTTAAAATTAATTTTATAATTTTTTGTTTTTGCCTTAAATTGCATATGTGAAGTAGTTTTAAATTAAAATTTAAAAAATTTTACTCACATCCATATAACAGAGCCATAATTCAAATCTAACTCTAATTGTAGACTTCATTGAAAGCTGTCCAATGAATTGGGCACAGAGGTCATAATGATCTTGGCGACAGCAGATTTTTGTGAAGGTAGAAGGGAATGTAGAAGCAGAGTGGAGTAGTTGAAATTTATCCTGCTTTTCTCCATCAAAGTTAGCATTCTAAAAAGAGCTCAATACCTGATATTCATGTTAGCTATATTGTTACCTATGTGTTATTGGCCTCTCAGTAACATTTGCCACAATTAACTCTTTCATTCAACTATTTCTTCAATTCATACTGTTTTGCCTGTCATGATTATCAATGCTGGAGATATAGCAGTGAATAAACACATGGAACTCCTGCCTTCACTATCATTTTATTTATTTAGATTTTATAAGAGGGTCATTTTGTTTCTTCCTGATTTGTCTCCCCTAACCCCATGATAGCAGTTATTACTCCAGAGGTGAACATTGTGATCTCTAGACCCGATATTACCACATAAGTAACCCAAAAGCCCTCAGTCTCATTTTGCCTGTTCTGATTATGTTTTGCTTCATAACATGACCACTAAAATTTGGGGTCTTAAGAGATAGCCATTTGTTTTGTTCATGAATAAATTTGGGAAGAATGACTCAACTCTATTTTAGGTGGCATCAGTTGGAGTGGCTTGATAGGTAAGATAATTCACTTTCAGATTGGTACACTGACACATGGGCCAATGTCTCAGCCAGGGCTGTGGGCTGAGAGTTTTGGTTCCTCTCTATCTTTCTCTTGACTGATTGTATAGGCTTCCTCATATGTGGAAGTCTTGGGGCAGTAAATGATGTACATGGTGGCTTAGTGCTTTGACAATCTAGCCTTGGAAAACAGCATTGTTTCCACCATAATCATAAGTACCCATTGAGATTCAGGAAACATATCTTACATTTAGAGGGAGAGTGTGAGAAGTAACAGTGTAAAAAGAATTTGAGATGGAGGACATTATGGTAATGTTTGGAAAATATCTACCATGTTGTCCAAAGTTGAGTTTGTAACCTTCACAGAGCTATTTTTTCACCAGTGGTCCCTGGTCAAGTAATTAGTCCTTTCATCTCCATGGCTGTTCATGTCAGAAATCTAGAAACCATATTTAACACCTCTCTTTTCTTTTCATTCCTTAGCAACCCATCTGCGTTCCTGTCCAGTGAGTCACTGGATCTGTCATTCTCAAATTCTCTAGCTCTGACTGCTGTCACTGCCATGACTTTAGTCTGAGCCAATGCATTGTTATCTTCCTTGTCAGCTTCTGTGATCATCTCCCAACCTGTTTCTTACTAGCAGTCTTTGACTTTCTAATGTGTTTTTTATCCTGCTTCCTGTGGAATCTTTTAAAATACTAATCCATCTATAGTATATTCCTTTTTAAAACCCATCAAAAGCTTCACAATACTTTTGGGGTAGAGAGTTCTTTCCCTGGTTCATTCCTGCTTCAGATTCATCTTAGTTCTTTTAGCTTCTTACATCTGATACAAGGCCTTAAAGTTCTTTTCTCTTCCCTGTCTCAGCACTCTATCACCCTGTATTTTTCTGTCTGTCACACTTTACTCATGTCTGTCACACTTTAATCATGTTTGGTCAAATGTAATTAATTTCCTTAAGCCTGGGTTAGGATCTTCTATCAAATAGGAGATACTTGCTCATTTTCTTTTTATCCTATGTTATACTTTTAATTGCTAGTATAATCTTTTGTTTTCTTTTTGCTAGACTCTAAAAAGTTTCAAGAGGACCACCAATTAATTAGTCTTGAATCACAAAAACCAAGCCCGTGACTGACAGATAATAGTGAACACTCAACACATGCTTATAAATACATACACATTCATTTAAAATATTAAATATCAACAAATCAGTTTAGGGATTTATTATGTAGTTTTTGTTTTTTGTTTTTCTTTTCTTGGTGGAACCAGGGATTAAACTCATGCTCTTGTGCTTACCAGGGAAACACTTATTCCAGTGAGCCATCTCCCTGTCTTCTGTATTATGTAGTTTTTATGAAAATATTTGCACTTGAATTAAAGTGATATATTTAGAAATCATGTTAAAAATTACTGGTATTTGTATTCTACTGTTTTGTTTAGTTGTTCAAAATATACCATGTCAGACACTGATCTGGTTCAGGCTGTTATGTTCCCTCTTGTATATCTTGTCCTCTGACTGGGTGCTGTTCATCATTCCTATTCAAGGTAAGGAATCTGCTGCAATGAAAGCTGACCTCCTGAGGGCCAGGAATATGAAAAGGTACATTAACCAGCTGACTGTGGCAAAGAAGCAGTGTGAGAAGAGAATCAGAATCCTGGGAGGTCCTGCCTATGACCAGCAGGAGGATGGGGCCTTGGATGAGGGAGAAGGGCCTCAAAGCCAGAAGGTAGAACCACTTTGTAGTTTCTTGTATTGACCATATCAGCCAACTTTATTATAAACATTGATACAACCATATATGCAGCCTTTTACCTACAGTCTTTAACTTAAGGTATTTGTTCAATAATTATAGACTCACACTTGTTATGAATCAAAGAGCCATATTACTTGATGTCCTTTTGTGACTGGTAATAGGTATGATAGGTAGTGTGTGGTGTGTGTGCATGCATGTGTTTTTCCATCCCCCTTTTCTGTTCTCCCCCATCCCAGAGGAGCATGTTTATATTTATTAAAAAAAGCCCAGTGAAGCTACTCATCATTTGGATAGAAATAACTGCTTGTGCAATGAAAGTTATCTTGAAAGTTATCTAACTCTTGCTACATTGCTGTGAGATATCTATTTGATGTCCTTATTTTCAGATAATGGAATAATGGGTCTAAGTATTTTGCCTGAGTCCTCATAGGAGCTGGATGACAACATAGATGTGGTTGATTCCCAATTCTTGGATAATTTCTCACTGAGCCATAAGATATTGATGACTGGTTTTGTTGTACAAAACTTCAAACTGTCTGTTGATACTGAATCTTTAAATCACAGAGCCTAGGAATGTATTCAAATCTGACTTTAGCACCTGTCTTAAGGATAAAGTGTGTTTTCTGTGACCTGGGACATACTAGATTTAAGGGAACAGTTATAGAACACCCCGAGGAGCCAGGCTGTACCACTTGGTGAACTCCAAGGCAAATTCCAAATTCCTTTTTGAACAGTGTCACATAGCCACAAAGAAGCCAACATGAGTGTAGTACTTTAACCCTGGCTATATCCTGAGACCTTTACTGTTCTGATTTTTAGTCTCTTCATCTTTTCTTGTTCATCTCTAGTTCAGAGGCCTATCTGTGATTTCCCCCTGCCTCCTGTGAGCTTTTACTCTTTCACCTTTTTTTGTCCTAGTCTTCTTAGAACTTCTTCAGGAGGACTTCTGTCCCCTCTTTCTACCAAGCCCAACACAGGCTAGAGTTCTGCAGCATCTTACATAGGTGGCACACATGTAAGGAAATCTTGTTTTGTAGAGGGATGCCACAATCTCTAAAAAGCCTATTGATATGCACTTAGCAACTGCCTCTTTCTCAGATTTTGGCCTTATGATATCTGGGAAAATTTCATCTTTTGGTGAATCTTTGTGACAGAGACTTGGCAGGTTGAATATTTCCCCTCCTATTCTTTTTCCTCCAATTTGGCCTCTTAAATAAACATCTAGGCACACATCATAAGTGAGGTCTTACCTTATTCCCATTCATTGGCTCAGCAGACATTGATTGAAGGCCTGTAATCTCTCAGGTGAAATGCTAGGTGCAAGGATACAAAAATAGTAAGATAGAATTCCTACTCTGAAATATTTCTATTTAATTCAAAATAAATAAATAGACCTAATAGATATAAGATATATACCTAGGAGTTATCTAATGACTTGCAGGTAGTCAAAGCATGGTATGCTTTTAGATGTTATGCTATAGTAAATCCTTGGGATCTAGAGAGCTCATTCTAGGAGAACTGATGTGATTTCAGTAGAGTATAAAAGTACTGTGCAGGGGGCCGGGGAGATGGCTCAGTGGAATAAGTGCTTCCTTGGCAAGCACAAGGGCCTGAGTTCAATCCCCGGTTATGCTAAAAAAAAAAAAAAAAAAAAAAAAAAAAAGAGTACTGTGCAGTGTCTATTAGGAACAGATAATTCAGTGCTACCTGGATTTTTAATTCATTCTTTCTAGGTAGCCAAGAGAGGAGAAATCTACTTCTGCAGCATCAGTTTATCCTCAGAATAAAACCTTTTCCTCTAGTTATCCGCTGGAAGCTTCAGGTAGTGTAATAGAATTATGTGGTGGTTTACTATTCCTCCGATAAGATTTTAGTTAAGGCCACTATGATAATTTCATAAGTTACTGAAGAACTTTTGCTATGACCAGTCATTATCTGACCCAGGGTAAACCAGTAACTATTTCAAAATTTACACTTCCAAGAAAGATGAATCCTCCATTTAAAGTAGTGTCAGTGCATTAAAAAAGATTAAGACTTAATTATATATTACTTAAAACAAATGAAAGGCACAGGTAGGTTGAAAGTGATTTTAAAAATGCCATGCAAATACTAAGCATGAGAAATCTACAGCATTTAATGTCATATGAAGTAGACTTCAGAACAAGGAATATAACCAGAAGTGACTATTTCATTATGATAAAGTGGTCAATTCATCAAGAAGAAAAGAAATCTATAGTAGTTGAGGATGTTAACCACCTTTTCAGTGACTATCAGAAGGATACAGGAAAAAAAAAAAAAAAGGATACAGAAGCCAAACAGTTCTGTCAACCAACTAAAGGAAATGGACATTTATGGAGCATTCACTCTAATAACACCAAGGAAAATACCTTTTTCTCACCGTGTACTACACAGAACAGTTTGCCAAAACTACATTGCTGGAGCACATAGGTGGGTAAGGCAGGAAGCTTGCTATGAGCTTGAGGTTAGTCTGGGCTACATAGTGTGTGCAAGACCAGCCTGAATGACAAAGCAAGACCCTGTCTCAAAAACAAAACAAAAATACATTGCTGGTACTGAAATAAATCCCGCCGAATTTATTTTTGTTTTAGGGGAACACGGGGATTGAACTCAGGTCCTTGCGCTTGCCAGGGAAGCACTTATTCTAATGAGCCATCTCCCCAGCCCATAATCCCACCGAATTTAAAGGATTAAAACTGTTAAGAAGTTGTTCTCTCTGACCACATTAGAATTATACTGGAAACTAGTAATAGAGATGTAGAAAAGCCCCAAATATTTGGAAATCTAAACAATATATCTAAATAAATCCTCAAAGAAAATAATCATAAGGGAAATTAGGAAATATTTTTGAATGAGAGTAAAAATACAATATATCAGCGTCAGGGGGATCCAGTTAGAGCAGCACTTAGTGAGAAATATGGTTTGTTTGTTTTTTTTGGTGGAACTGGGGATTGAACTCAGACCCTTGCACTTGCCAGGCAAGCACTTATCCTACTGAGCCATCTCCCCCCGCCCGAAATATGTATTTTTAAGGTTTATATTAAAAATGTTTCTTTCTAATGTTTATATTACTCTGGTTGAGATTCACTGCTAATTGATAGTTCCTCAACTAGAAAGTTCTGATTTTTGACAGTGCCACTACCTTCTTTCTTCACCAAAGTTCTGGTTTAGATTCTTTCTGATTAGTTTTTGTGGTTGTCTGTTGTGTTTCACAACGCTTCAGCTCACAACAGTAAAGTAGGTAGTATCTTCCCCATTGTACAGATGATGTCCTGAAGCTGAGCGATGGAGTAACAACTCATAGGACTACAAGGTAGCAGAGTTAGACCTCAGACTTAGGTAGGTCTAGCTCCAAAGCCCAAACAGTTTTAACTGTCCGGCACTGCATATCTTGCTTTGTTTTCAATGCAATGTGCCTTTTTTTCTTTGCAAGGTTCCCTCCTCCATAAAGGACCTCAGAATGGACAAATGAAAGGAAGTTTATCAGAAAAAATAAGAGAAAACAAAAATATAGGGGATTTGGATGCCAGTGACACTGTATATGTGGTCTTTTCTTCAGGGGCAAATTTTGCACTGTTTGATCCAAGCACAATCCAAAACAAACAGTATAAATGCAGCCCAGTATAAAGAAAATTCTCTCCTTGTTCATGGAATTGTTGGTCCATCTTCCCTAGCCTAAATTGATAACTGCTCCTTTTAATAAAAACCTCTTCAGAGCATATTGAGGTAGGATTTGTGTTTTATATGCTTCACTGGTATGGGTTTCCCAAAGGAAAATCATATGTTCTGATGTCCAAAAGTTAGTGAACTAAATGTTAGTGGTTTGAAAAGTTTGTGGAGACGTAATTGTTAGTAGTCTGTATTATGGGTAGCCATTTCTTTTCTTTTCTTTTTTCTTTTTTTTATGTTTTTATGTCTAGAAAACAGGGTCTCAACTACACAGTTTGAACTCGTAGTGATCCTCCTGTCTCAGCCTCCCCAGTGCTGGGATTACAGGTGTATGTCACCACACCTGGTTCTGGGACCAGCCTGGCACGCAGTACTTGGGATCCAACTCAGGACCTTGCACTTGCCAGGCAGGCATGTAGGCCAGCGAGCTATCTCCTCAGCCCAGCCACTTCTTTTATTTATTTTTATTTTAATTCTGTGTGTGTGTGTGTGTGTGTGTGTGTGTGTGTGTGCAGGGTCTCACTATGTAGCTTGGATGTGTGGTGATCCTCTTGATGTCTGTCTCCCTAGTGCTGGGATTATAGGCGTTGACTCCATCACTGGCTCCACAAGCCTGGGGCCAGGGCTGGCATGGCACGTGATATCAGGAACTGAACCCTGGCCCCTGCACTTACCGGAGCAAGCTCTTAATCTGCTGAACTATACCACTGGCCCTCAGCCATTTCTTTTGGTTACCAGAAATTATATGAAAATGTGTTCGTCTTTCTGCCCACAAAACAAATGAAGGAAGGTTGTATTGTTATATTGGTGACAGGAAAGTTTAGCATGCGTAGAAAATGTGCACTTAGTTTTTAGAAATTTTGCTGGTAACATTTCAGAAAATTTGCCAACTTTTATAATGGTAGTCTTTAATCTCAACATGTAAGTTTTGGTTTTATGTTTTGTGTTTGATACCCAGAATTAAATTTGGGACCTTGCACTTGCTCAGCAGACAGTACTGCTGAGCTATATTCCTGGCCCCCAACTTTAAGTTTTTATTTAACTTCCCTTAATAGAGGAAGTTTTGATCACTGATTCAGAAGTAAGTATATGGGCCTTAAATTCTTTCTACGTTAATTTGAGGCATTTTTTTTTTCCCTAAATGAGTCATAAACAGTATCCACTTTCTAGTTACTGCACAATCTGTGCTTGAGATAGTTTCTATTATACCTTCAGAGAATTTGCCCTTTTTTATGAACACACAAAATGGTAAACACAGGAATAATAGAATGGAATTTGGCACATCTATGTTCTGGAATATTAGGGCCAATTGACAGTGATGCTTAGGATTCTTCATTGAGTGTGTTAAGATATATCTTGAAGAAAGATATAAAATTGTTTGCATTTCCCTCAGTTGTATAACAATAGATGGAAAGCAAAAATGCCAAACCTTAAGACTCCAGCTTTTTTTTTTCACATCATTCTTCAATTTTTCTGTGATTGTCAACTACTGTTTTAAAACTGTTGATTTTTTTTTTTTTTTTCTTTTTTTTGGCAGAACCGGGGATTGAACTTAGGCCCTTGTGCTTGCCAGGGAAACACTTATTCCACTGAGCCATCTCCCTGGCCCCTAGTCAACTACTGTTTTAGTGGAGAATATGTATTCTGTGGACGAGGGATTGTTGTGTCTCCTTTCCTTAAAACTATGCCTGACACCAAGTATGCCTCAGATCTTTGTTGAATGAGTGAATGATTAATAGAAAATTAGTATGTTTCAAATATGTGCATTTTGAACATTCAGTAGGCTTTGTACTATTTAAGATTTAGAAAGTGGTAGAGGAGATATTTCATTTTATGAGGAACTTTAAATTTTGACTTTGAACTTAAAAATGTGTTTTTTTTCCCTAAAATGGAGAAGTTAATTCACTGGAAGTTAAAGCAAACTAGTATTTCAAATTTGATTTTTAAAAACATTTTTATTAAATTCCCTTAACAGATTCTGCAATTTGAAGATATCTTGGCCAATACTTTGTATCGAGAGCATTTTCAAATATACATGGAAAGAATGGACAAGAGAGCACTGATTAGTTTTTGGGAATCTGTAGAACATTTAAAGAATGCTAACAAGGTAGTATATATGGGCTAAAGAGTATTAATCCTTAGCAGATGAAAGCTTATGTGGTGCAACAGATATCTTTGTTTCAATGAAACTGTAAATATACATCAAAAAATGATTTTAAACTAAAATTAACATTGACGTTCTACTCAGCCCATTATAGTAGATGAAATTGCATTATATTTTTGCAGAAAATGTATAGTGAATTTGAATGTATAGTGACGGGGGAAAGATACATAAATGTACCAAGAGATTGAATTTGGTTTCTAATAGTTATTTTTTAACGCAATATAAAAAGGTATTTATAAGTTGGTCTTACCACCTATACCTCACTGTCATAATCCTGCTACTTATTATATATATTTTTCTTCATACAAATTAGATATTATTTAAAATATGATTGGGGTATCTGTATATTCAAAATAGTTATGATAGATATACAGCTATAGTCTCTTAATTCAATGAATAGAAAAATTTGTTCTAATAGTGTTTGTGGAGAAGATACCATGTGTGCATCTTCTACAATGAATAACCACTAAGACAACAATATGCAGTGTATTAAGTATTGAAACTGTCCTACTAATCGGTTTTGAAAATGTCTCATTGCTATTTGTTTCTCAAAAAAAATATTTAAAAAAAGAAACAAGCAGGAGTATTTTGAGGTGGATTAATGACAATGTGCATTTTATTGTAATAATTAAAAAAATTAACATTTATTATACTTTTTATTGTAAAACATGCTATGTATCAGAGGCTTAAACCAGTGCTCTCTCTTTGTTCTACAGGAACCTGATTGTAAAAAAAAAAAACATATCTAGATTGATTTTAACAGAAATAGAAATAAATTTAGAATTCATGATGAGAGCCAAAAACAAAAATAAAATAAAATATGATTGGGTAAAGGATCACAAATTACATTTTTGGTTATATCCTTCTTTTAGAATGAAGAACTTAGCAGTAAGCATACTGCTTTGTACTTGGCCAGTTCACAGTAATATAGTTAAGAATTAATCTGGGCAAAGTATCGTGTTTCTGAGTCTGATCTGCTCTAGAAGCTGAATTAATGAGAGACAGCTGAGCTTAGGAGTTTGCTAGCAGCTTGGGCAAAATAGTGAAACTGTTGAGAGGGCCAGAGAGAGGGAAGGGAGAGCTATAAAATAATATGTGCATATGTACATATATAAACACATATATTTGAAATATACATACTTGTATAACATTTCAAGAGGCTTATTAATATCAACAGAATTTTATTTCATTTGAATATGAATGTTGCTAGAACTGAATGACTTTTAAGTATAAGTCACTAACTGCGCTGTTTCAGAAATTAAATCCTGTCTTGGAGTATTTTTAAGTTTTCTTATTCCTTGTATCATTACTTTATAAGCCACAAGTTACCTCATCTTACATAGTATTTTGCCAACTTTGGTACTCGTTTTTATTTACCAGGTTTGACTCGAGATGACTTAATACAACTTGAAAACTTTGAATGAAATAAGAACATACAACTTACTCAGATTTTCTATATTTTAACCTTGGAACACTGATTAGTCATGTTGTATATCTATTTTTTGCAGCTGTTGAAAATTTGGTATATTAAAGAGTTAATGAAGTGCCTTTAGAAGAAATATAAGGAATTTTTGATACATGATTGCTATACATAATGGTACATGTTTGCAGTACATAATGATTGCATTTCTCATGGGAGTTGGTACATATACATGACTATCTCAATTCTCTTTTCATTGCCCCTCCTTCTTTCCTCCCTCAGGAAATACAAAGATTATGGCAATTACAAGAAATGTTTGTTTCTAAAATAGGCCAGTGACGACCTAAGTGTGCCACTGAAATCTAAGCCAGTGGTGGTGAAGCTATGGCACACATAGTTCTTTTTTAAAGCAAAAGATGTTAATATATAAATTGTTTTTTCTAAACTAACTCAATAGTGGGCTTTGGGTTGCAGTTTCTAAAAGGTTTGCTATCACTAGTCTCCACTGTAAGGTAATTATTCTGAAAATATCTGTCTTGTTTGTTTTGCCAAATGCGAAATTATTATCTTCTTTCTGGGGTAAGAAATTACTCATATTAGACTTCTAATTACTTACATTAGATGAAACATCAAATAGATTTTAGTTAATAAATTATATTTTTGTGGAATGGAAATTTATGGAAAGGAATCCATTGCAGGAAGAGAGCTATTCTCATTCTTTATTTTTCTCTGGAATTTAAGAAAAATTACAGAAAGTAACTGTTACACATGAACTGTTTGTTTTAAGGGGCAGTTTATATTTTTCAGGGTGACATGTATTCCACAGCAGTCCAGTACTACAGTATATCCTAAACAGCTTCCTTCCAGCTTTCATCAGTGCAAAATGATTTCTCTCAGAAATCATATTCTTTATCTTTCTCTTTACTTTTTTTCAGAATGAAGTTCCACAATTAGTTGGTGAAATTTATCAAAAGTTCTTTGTGGAAAGTAAAGAAATATGTGTGGAAAAATCACTTTACAAAGAAATCCAGCAATGTCTTGTAGGAAATAAAGATATTAAGGTGTTCTGCAAAATCCAGGAAGGTGTATTTGAGACCCTAAAAGACAGATACTACCCTTCCTTTATTGTCAGTGACCTGTATGAGAAATTGATGATAAAAGAGGAAGATAAAGAAGACTCACAGTTGATTTCCAAAAATGATGGAATGGTGAGTCACATTTAGATTTCTTCTTCTTTTTTAGTGGATAAGATTTAAGTAAGATTAAGTGAGTGCCTACTTTGAGCCAAATTTGATGCATACCTTCGTCTTTTAATACATAGAACTTGCATAGAATAAACAGTTAAAATATCTTGCTGCTTCTGGTTTTGTGCACTTCCCTTTTTTGTCGTTCTGACCTACTTGCTGTCACTGTCACCAGTGAGTCAGAGACCTCTTACTATCTTAGACCCATTTATTGTTTGACTCCTAAAAAGTGGGAGCAGACAATCTGTGGGTTGGGTTGGATCATTTTGTGTCTTGATCCAGGGAGAATTAGTAGGATTGTTGTCCAGGACCTACACAGAAAAGGTATGAGAAGAGGGTTGAGAGAGGAAGTGTGAAGGAGCTTTAGGAATGCTAAGAAAATCAGGTGGAAGTAAAATGCTCCCAAGGAAGCCTTCCTGTTGTATCTGAGGTCTACTTTTTTTTTTAAAGTACGGTTGATCATTTTGGATAGCTCCAGGTGACATTACTCATTTACTATTAGTGTATTGTCTGTGTATAAATTGAAAATTTGTACACAGATTATGATTTATCTTGGAATTATTATTATTATTATTATTATTATTATTATTATTATTATTTTGCCAAGGTTATAGTGTCTTCAGCCTGGCAGAGTCAAGTCTTTCCTTTTGATGATAGTGGAAAGGTCTCTGAACTGTTGTAAAATTGTATGGTTTTCATTCAGACTTTTACATCTTGTTGCTTTGTTCTTTCCATATGAAATGACTTCACTGATTGGTCTTAAATTCATTACTCCCTGCATTTTATTTTTGAGATGGTTCACAGTTTAAGTACATTATCTTTTACTTAAAAAATTACAAGTTATTAAAATTATTATTGCAGCAAACTTTTAAAAAAGCTTAGTGAAATTAATAGTATCATTACCAAACAGATAAAATGAGTAAAGACTTGAACTGACAGTTGATGTGAGAGGTAGTAATGAACAAACATAAAAAATTCACCCTAACTTAGATTCAAAGAAGGCTAATATATATTACTGACCCTTTGAAATCTATTGATGCCCTTTGTTCCTATAATCTATAGAAGGGGAAACTTTGAGAAATGTATCCTAAGAAAATAATTAAAATGTAGAAAACCTTTGTACATGATGGAACTTGTTTGAGTATGTTTGAAATAGCAAAGAGGCAAAATCAATGCATAGCAGGAGCAGCAGTAGAAATACACCTCAGTAAACTGTCAGCGCAGTTGAATACAGTACAGCTGTAGTATTATAATGTTGGAGATTATAATATTATCAAGTGCTGTATTATTTGGAAAAGGCAGAATTCCCAGTAAATGAGTGTAGAATTATGTTGTAATATATATATTTAAATGAGTACAAAGTTTAGAATTTTGTCATAATGTATATATTTATAGGGAGTAGAAAGAATATATAGAAATGAACGCAGCTTTTTTTCTAGAACTATCAGTATTTTTATTTTTCTTTAAAAGATTTAGATATTGTTAATGAAAAATAGAAGAAAAAAATCAGGAGAAGAGATAAGAAGTAAAGAAATCAAAAGATGGACCTCAGCAGTTCATTTCAGTATTTTACATGTTGTCTCCTTCTGACTCTCGTTTACATGCTGTTCATAATCTATCCAAATTGTTTCAAGTTACATAGTTCTTTGTCAATTTTAAGTCACTGTCAAATGATATTTTACTTATAAAATAATAATCTACCTCTTGATTTATAACAAGAGAAGAACTGAAGTAAGAAAATACTGAAAATTCTTTTATAGTATTAATTTGGAAATTTATTTTAAAGGGACTTCTAGGGGCCAGCCAAATAGCTCAGTGGATTAAAGCGCCTGCAAGCAGGTACAGGGGCCTGGGATTCTATCCCAGGGCCTGCCATGCTGGCCCCACCCCCAGGGCACACTGAGATGGTGATTGAGACTGGGCGTGGTGGTACACGCCTGTAATCCCAGCACTTGGGAGGCTGTAAACAGGAGAACCACTATCAGTCCAATATAGTAGTGAGACCCTGAACACACTGTAGACTCTTCCCTAAAATACAGAAATAAAAAATAAAAATAAAGGGACTTCTAGTAGCTTTTTATAATACTTATAGGAGACTAGAAAGAAGCAAGATGTCTGTCTTTGTTAAAGATTATGTATTGAATATTCAGATTGAGTTGGGAATAACTCAGTTACCTTCCCTTGTTCCATACAGATTCCTTGGATGTAACTTTTGGGAAATAATGTCATGAAATTTCTTCCCCTTTTATTAGGTTATTAAATATTTCCCTGATTTTCTACAATTCTGGATACCAGTTACTTTGGTTCTAAATACTTTGATTTTTCTCTTTACTACAAAATAAAAAGGCACTCTGCTTCTAAGCATTCTACTCTAGTATTTGTTCTCCAACTGGAATACAGTATTTTGAAACAGTACATTATACTGATGTGGCACTGTCTTGGTTAACTTTTTCATTGCTGGGACAAGATACCCAGCACCCCAAAATTAAGGAAGAAAAGGCTTATCTGGATTACAGTTTGTGGAGGTTTCAGTCCATACTCAGCTTGCTCCAAGGCAGAGTGACACATTGCAGAGGGCAGCAGTTCATGGTGGCGGAAAACAGCAAGAGAAAAAGGCAGGAGCAGTGCTGAGCAAGCCTCTGTACCTTCCTTATGTTTCATTCAGACTATCTTCCCCAGGTCAGGTATAGCACTCACACCCATAATCCTAGCAGCACTCACACCCATAATCCTAGCATTGTATCATAAATTAATCACAAACTCTAGAAGCCTGCCCCATGACTGCGTGAGGCTTTGGGGGACAGCTAGACACAAATCATAGCAGGCATCTATATAATAGTTAATAATGACTGATTTTTATGTTGTCATAAAATATAGTGTTATGTAACTTTCCCCCCTCTAGGACCCAGGAGGTGAGGCTGATGAAGTTGTGGTTGAAGGTACCAGTGAGATTAATGAACAAGCCAGTTTTACTGTGAACAAATTGCGAGAACTAAATGAGAAACTTGAATATAAAAGGCAAGCTCTAAGTTCTATTCAGAATGCACCAAAACCTGACAAGAAGGTAACTATTTTCTTTTCAAGATTGTATCTGAAGGTTTCCATTTGTCTAATTTAAGAAGTAACAGTTTTCAGTTTATGTACAGATGTGTCAATTTCTTTAAAAGGAAGTGTAGTGATAGAATAAGTTAAATACTTATGGACAATTTTTTGGGGAAAAATTTTTCTTTCAGTTGCCCAATTATAATTTAGAGGAACTTACAGAATTTTGCAAAAACTAAATTCTTTTGCTAAAACACAACAAAATTTGAAAATTAAAAAATGTATCTCTAATTGACATTTCTCAAATCCAAGCTATAGTGTATACTTTTGCTGTGTCATTATTCTTTTTTAGTGTAAAACAAAGAGGTCTTTGTAATATAGTTGTGCCTGACACTTGTTTGAGGTGCCAAATGGGTTTCCTTGGTGCTTTCTGAACGTGTTTTAGAGATTCAAGTAGGTCAACAGGAAAGCAACTTGGAATAAAACAATTCTAGTGAGTCACATGGGTTTTCTTCCATGGTACTCTTTAGTGCTGCTTTCGTGGGCATTCAAGTGCTTCTGTAATATTCCTCAGATAAAATGTGATGAGATCAATGTATCATGAACCTATTAGTAACTTAGAGTCAAAATATTTATTATCTGTAACCCAGATAATATGTAGTGGGTTTTCTTTAAATAAAGAAAGAAAACAAAGTCCTACAGAAGTTTGTAATTTTTGCTAGTAATCTTTTTACAAAATTATGAGGGAAAAGGAAATGCAGCGTGAAAATGACTCTAATAATTGTTAGTGGGGCTCAGAGAAGGAAATACATGAACAGCTAAGTTTCCTGGGTCATCGTAAGAAATGGAGTTAGTCTCCTCCTTACACGGAGTCATTCTTAGCATATAGACAACTTGGAGAGTTTGCCATCTTCTCATGACAAGAACATCTCTGGGATGATAAACAGAATCGGCTCACATGCCAGATAATCAGTGCTTTCAGTATGGTGTATTCTTCATGAACTCTTGTTTCATTTATTTTGGGTCTACCTCATTATAAATTAAAATGTATTTATGGGGAACAGGATAAACTAGAAAATATTCAATGAATTATTTTGTTTGATTCATTATTTGGTTGAAATATATTTATTTATTTGACTTAAAGTAACCATGGGGTAAATATTCAGAGCTATAATTGTATGAAAACATTTTCAAGAGATTTCCCCTAATTAGAAAGCTAATTTCACATCAGAGAAGGGATCGTCCACATTGCCTATTAGATCAAATTGTTTATGGCTGCTCAGAGAAGCACTCTGCTTCTGGTGATTGTTTACAAGGCTCTGAGGGCTCCAGAGATATAAAGAAGCTGATAATCTTTCCAGAAGGATGTGTCATGCTGCTTTTATGTCTTTTGCTCATTTTGGTGACAGTGAATTAATGTTTCTAATAATTAATGTTGTAAAACCTAAGATGGATGTTGAAAAGGTTTTGGTAACTTGGCAGTTAATGCATGCCTGAACAAACATTTGTCCTAGAGATTTTCCTGTATTCAATGTCTAATTATAGATAAGGTCATTTTTCTGTGCATCCATTGGTAGTGGTCTTCTTCCCCTCAATAAAGGAAGCCAGGAGTTTGCTTCACCTTCCTGCTTCTCTCAGTTCTCTTCTTCAGCAGCATCATTAGCTGTAGATGTCAAAGTTGCCTTTTTGTTTGATTTCCTGAAATCCAATGCCTAGGTTCTCTTTTGTTTCTCCAGAGCAATTTTGTGTGTCTAAAGCAGATTTTCCAATTCTAAGTTAATATTGGGAGCAAGTCACTGATCAGGAAGAATCTTAGCATCAGAAAAAATGAGTAAAATATATGTTGCTATGCTTTTCACTGTGAAGAATCAGGGACACAAGGGTGACAGTCTCCAGAAAATAGATTAAAATATACATGAAAGTCAAATAGTCTTAATAAAATGTAAGACAATGGCACAGACAAGGGGTGCTTCCTATAGGCCTTCTGAGCAAGGAGAGACCTGGTAGACTCTACATTCAGGAGAGTTGGGATGAAACTGCTATCCTCAAATTATAGGTGTGTAACCCTATCAGTTTTCTCATAACAAAGCCAGGGAGAGAGTGAGCATAGCATTTTTATTTTTATTTTTATTTTTATTTATTTATTTATTTTTTACATTTATTTAGTGTGTGTGTGGCCCGCTCAGCCCACCAGGGGGCGGGGCTGACTGGCATGAGGTGCTGGGGGATTGAACCGCAGTCCCTGTGCTTTGCCAAGCTTGTTCTAAGTAGGTGCTTTAGACCACTGAGCCATCTCTCCAGCCCTGAGCATAGCATTTTTTAAAAAAGTTTATTTTTTAACTATATATATTTGCCATTTAAACCACTTTAAGTGTATATTTCAGTGGCATAGAGAATATCCATATTGTTTTACAACCATCCCACCATCTATCTCCAGAACTATTTCCATCATAATTGGAACTCTGTACCCATTAAACACTAGTCCCCATTTCTCACTCCCTCTCCTCTCCAAAACTTCCATTCTGCTTTTGTTTTTGTTTCGTTTAGTTTTGGGGGAACAGGATCTTACTTTATAGTTTAGGCTGACCTTGAAGACGTGACAGTCCTCCCTTCCAAGTGCTGAGATTAAAGCTGATTAGATCACACCCAGCTACCATTCTGTTTCTTGTCTGTATGAAATTGACTATGCTCAGTACCTCATATGACTGGAATCCTGCAATATTTGTCCTTTATGACTGGCTTACTTTACATGATATATTGCATTCACAGTTGTGCTATGTTATAGCATATGTCACAATTTATCTTTTTATAGAGCTGAATAATTTTTTATTGCACATACCATGCTTTTTGTTTATCCATTCATCCCTCAATAGACACTTGTATTGCTTCACCTTTTGGTTATGGTGAAGAATGCTGCTATGAACACAGATACACAAATATCTCTGAGGGATCCTGAATCTAGTTTCTTTGGGTGTATAGACAGAAGTGGTTGTTGGGTCATATGGCAATTCTGTTTTAATTTTCTTGAGAAGCCAACTGCCATATTCTTTTCTTTTTTTCTTTTTTCCATGATTTTATTGAGGAACAAATAGCAGTAAGGCAGTTTCAAACTGAATTGGTAGGACAGTTTCAATAATTAACACATTGCATACATTCTTCCTAGTGGTTAATTGCTGTACAAGATGCGGACATGATGTCCTATTTACAAACACTATTAGAATGCCATATTGTTTTCTACAGCAGCTGTACCACTTTATAATTCCCAAATATTCCAGTGTCTCTTGTTCTTACCAACAGTTGTTATCTGATTCTTCCTTCTCCCTTTTCTTCTCTCCTCTCTCCTCTTGAAGTCCTGTGGTTTTGGTTTACATTTTTGTACTGGTTAGTGAACATTTTCATGTGTTTATTAGTCACTTATGTACATTTGAGAAATGTTTTCTCAAGTCCTTTACCTATTTTTAGTTGTTTTTTTTTGTTGAGTTTTGAGAGTTTCTATATATTCTGGATGTTAAAACTTTTATCAGTTTGTTGTTTGCAAATATTTCTCCTTTTCTGTGGTTTTTAATTGTATTGACAGTATTCTTTGTGCATACAGGTTTTAATTTTGATAAAGTTCAGTTTGCTGCATTTTGTTGGCTGTGCTTTTCATGTTATAGTCAAAAAATTATTATAGTAGAGGGGACCTGCCAGTTATCTCAGTTGTTTAAGTGCCTGCTTATGTAAACACAAGTCAGGCCCAGGATACTGTGGTTCAATCCCCAGCTCCCACATGCCTTACCATACCTGCCCTTAAGGCAGCCTGAGCCAGCGGCGGGGAAAAAAATCCTTCTCAAAAAATTATTATACCTCATTTTTATACTTTTCTGCTGGATGGTTAAGACCAAGATAAAGCAAGACCTATATAACAAGAAATGTAACTTTTGTATCTTTGTCAGTGTCAGTCATGTGGATGAGTCACAGCCATTGCTTGACCAATTTTGCTCTCTGTGAAAGCCTGAGAGAATGTTTTCTCTCTAGATGACTCTCTTTAGGCTCATTAAACATCGTCAATCACTTTCCTCTATGACCTTATAATCTCCTTGATCAGAAAATTTGGGACATCACTGAGTTACAGGATGTTACAGTACAGGTTCTCTTATGTCCTGAGTCCTCACCGACCTTGAATGGCCAGGGCCAAAATGTTGGCTATCCTTGTAGCCCTTCTTTTTCTCTAATTTTTTGGTCTGCAAGCTTCTCCAGAAGAGAAGCTTAATGATATTATTACCCTATAACATAGGCAGTTGAGCTTAACCTCACTATCTGTCTGAATATCAAACATCTTAGACATAACATGTAACAGGTATTTTCCATCAAAGCCATATTAATATGCTGAGCTGTAAAAGGCTCGAGTCAACAACTTCTGACATTGCCAGTCCTATGGATAACCCACTACTACTATGGACTACTGGACTATATTGGATTATTTTGCTTAATTCATGCACCTACAATACTTAAAGGGTAATGGAATACCCATCTCTGACAAAACTAAACAAAAAAGGGGGATATAAGTGACGGACCATTTTGTATCTGTATATACAAAATAGGATAGATATACAGTTACTTTCTCTTAATTCAATGAGAAGAAAGATTTGTACTAATAATGTTTGGACAGGATATCATGTCTGCATCTTTTACTATGAATAACTTTTACAAAGACAACAATATGCAATATATTAATTATTGTAACTGTCCTACTAACTTGTTTTGAAACTGTGTCACTGCTATTTGTTTCTCAATAAAATTAATAAAAAAAATTGTTATAGTCGAAACTAATGTCATGAAGCTTTCTCCCTGTTTCCTTCTAAGAGAGGATCTTTATAGGCCTTACGTTTTAAGTCTTTGGTCCATCTTGAGTTAATTGTTGCTTGTGTCAAGGGTCCATTTTAATTTGTTTGCATGTGCATATCCAGTTTTTGAGTGCCATTTATTGCAAAGACTGTCTTTTTCTCGTATCCTATTCTTGACATTCTTGAAGATTGTTTGATCATACAAAGGAGGTTTCTTTTTTAGCTCTCTATTGTGTTCCATTGGCCTTTATGCCTGTTCTATAGTGTTTTGACTACTATCATTTTATAATTAATATTTGAAGACAGGAATTATGAATCTTACAAATTCTTTTTAAAATTATTTTGACCACGTGGGATCCTTTGATTCCACATGAATTTCAGAATGGATGTTTATCTTCATACAAAAATGTCATTGAAATTATAATAGGGGTAGATTACATTGAATCTGTGATTGCTTTGAATAATAGTGCCACCTTAGCAATATTAAATCTTGTAGTTTATAAACTTAGGCTGCCTTTACAAATATTTGTCATCTGTAATTTCTTATATCAGTTTTTTTAGTTTTTATCATAGAAATCTTTCACTTCCTCGGTTAATTCCTAAGTACTTTTGGATGTCATTGTAAATACAATTTTCTTCTTTTTTGAATTTTTCATTGTTACTGTATAGAGAAACAACTGGTTTGAGGTGTTGGCTTTGAATCCTGCTATTTTGCTGAATTACAAAGCTTTTTCAGTATTTTCATAACTCCCAGGCTGTTTTCCTTGTGACAGATTATATCCAAGTTGAAGGATGAAATACTTTTAATAGAGAAGGAACGCACGGACCTTCAGCTGCACATGGCAAGAACAGACTGGTGGTGTGAGAACCTAGGCATGTGGAAAGCCTCCATCACCAGTGGAGAGGTAGGCCTCACTTTTTCCCCATTGTTTGAAAAGTTGAACTTCACAAGACAAAAATTCTGTCTTTCAGTTTTACTTAAAGGCACCTTTGACATTACATAGCACAGTCCCATCATCTTCCAAGACAGATATAAAAGGGAAGTAGTAGAAGCCCTCACAAGATGCTTTGTCCTGACAATAAGTCATTTCTCAGGAGTGTGCTGTGGTTACTTTGTTCACCTAAAACATAAAAGATGGAAAAAGAAGTACCTTACTGCCAGCACTCACAATGTAGTTCCATACATGAATGTGTGGAAGATGTGTTTATATCAACTCGGACTCTTTAGTTCTGGGTCCTTGCTCACCCATGTAGTAGATGTGTGGTCCTAGGAGATTTGGTTAGCAGTCTGTAGTTCTACTTCCTCATCTGTGCAGTAGAGTAGTCAGCCTCTTGGGATATGCAGAGTGTCAGTAGACTTTGCATATCCTTCTTGTGTCTTTCTTATCTTCTCTCTAAATCAATTCATGACACTAACTCAAACTCAGGTTCTGTATATTTTCTGCTTGTTTTGATCTACTTGGCTTAAAAGTAACCTAAATATTCAAGGGCTAGGGTGTGTGTGTGAGTGTGAGTGTGAGTGTGTGTGTGTGTGTGTGTGTGTGTGTGTTTGAATTGTCTAAGTTGGAAGGTAAAGGAAATTATGTCTTTCAGTGGAAAGTTTAATGAGAACTAAAATCATGGTTTATTGAATATTGAAATTAAACTGATGAGGCCTTCAGCCTTTCCTGAGAGGAATTCTCCTATATCTGCTACTTCTTTGCTGCTGTAAATTTATTTTTTTTTTTTTGTGGAAACAAGTTAAATATGCCTATATTCATTTCTGTTTGCTGTGTAACATTTTTTAAAATCCAAGCATTCATTTATTAGCTCACACTTTTACATATCAGAATTTCAGTACAGGCTAGGCATAATGGTGCATGCCTGTAATGCCAGCACTTGAAAGGCTGAGGCAAAAGGATCACCATGAGTTTGAGGCCAGCCTGGGCTACATAGTGAGTTCCCTGAACTACAAAATGGGGCCTTGTCTCAAAAATAAAGGAAAAGAGAAAGAAAAAGAAACCCAACATAGTGTGACTGAGTCCTCTGTTTATTATAGCAGAAGGTTGAAATCAGGTGTTGACCAGACTGAGTTCTTGTCTTTTGGGGAGAAAAACAGTTCTAAGCTTATTTAGGTTATTAGAAGAATTCAGTCCTTTCTGATTGTAAACATGAGGTCTTTGTTTTCTTGCTAGAATTGAAACTAAGAACTGTACTGTCCCAAGAAGTTTATTTGTGTTATTGGAAGAATTCAGTCCTTTCTGATTATAAATATAAAGTCTTTGTTTTCTTGCTGGTTTCTTTGTTGGGCTTCCAATCTCTTCCATTAGTATCACCTACATAAGATTATGCATGGTCTACTATGCCATGCTATATAGCCTCATTGCCAGAATAAAATCTGTTTTATCCATAATCCTGGGGATTATGTAGGATACCATACAAAACACATCAACAAGGCACAATCTTGGGGGACATTTAAAAATCTCCTGTGCTATCTTTTCATGATGCTTTTGCTTTCTGTTTTTACTGATTTTGATTTCTTTTTCCAGGTTACAGAAGAGAATGGTGAGCAAATGCCTTGTTACTTTGTAATGGTTAGCCTACAAGAAGTTGGAGGAATTGAAACTAAGAACTGGACTGTCCCAAGAAGGCTCAGTGAGTTTCAGAATTTACACCGAAAACTTAGTGAGGTATGAATACTCATGAATACAAGATTGTACAACTGTTGAGCGTGAAGACATTCAGAGCTTATTTCAAGTTTAACACATAAAGGAGGGGGCCTGCCTGTTAGCTCAGTTGTTTAAGTGCCTGCTTAAACAAAGCAATCTGGCTCAGGATGCTGTGGTTTAGTCCCCAGATCCTCATGCCTTATCAGACCTGCCCTAAGGCCTCCAGAGCCATCCCCCCCAAAAAAAAGAAAAAAAAAAAATCCTTCCAACATGTAAGGGAACTGATTAATCTTTCTCTTTCCTGTTAGTACTGGCACAGTGGGATTTCCAACCTGACATTTGTAAATCATAGATCAAACCCCCTGGTCTGGCTAAATCCTTCAGGACAGACAATTGCTGTAGAACCCCAGTGACCAAAGAGGCCAGGAACCATCTAGGGCCAGTAGTTGTGAAGCTGCCAGTTGTGACTCTGCAATGAACAGTGAAATCCATTTTGAATTGCAGCAAAAAAAGAGAATAGAAGATGCAGGAGGTCATCACAGATGCCAGAGGAGGCACAAAGCAAAGCGGTTGAAAGCACATCCTCCAGAGCTAGACCGCTTGACTTTAAGTCCCAACTCTACTATTTCCTAACTGTGTGACCTGGGATTTATCATTCCATCTTTTTGTGTCTTTTTCCTCATCAATGAAATACAGATGCTAATAGTTCCTCCAGGCCTACCTCAAAAACTTGTGGAAAGCAAGAGAATAAGTGTAAGCAAAGCATTTAGAAGAGTGTGTGGCATAGAGAAAGCATCGATGTAGATTTTGGCTTTATTAGTAGTAGTAATAATGGACATTGCTTACTTTTTGTTTAATATATGCATATGGATAAACGCATATAGATTATGGTTTACAGCATATCATGAATTTCTTGCTTTAGATTTTATTATATTTATTTATTTATTTTTCTGGCGGAACTGGGGATTGAACTCAGGCCCTTGCGCTTGCCAGGGAAGCGCTTATTCCACTGAGCCATCTCCCTGGCCCCTTTGCTTTAGATTTTAGTAAAGGTTTGAAAACCACTAGCATAGGTCAGGTTTTTTTTTTCTTTTTTTGTGTGAGATGGGGTCTCACTATGTAGTTTAGGCCATCCTTGAACTCACTAAGAAGGCCAGGCTGACCTCAAACTCAACGATGATCAACCTGAGTGCTGGAATTACAGGCATACGCCACTACACTCAACAATTCTAAGTCTTCTTATGCTGGAAGTAATTGCCTTTACACAAGCAATGAAAAGTTCTTTAATCATTTCTATTTTAATTTTGAGCCATTTTTGTCTTACTGTGAATAAACTGGTACTGATAAAATTGTATGATAACCTCTGAGACTTTTTGAAAATGAAATTTGTCTTCTACGAAATATTTATTTTTTTAGCATTTTTCATCATTAAAAAATTCTGAATTCTCTTAACTTCAACTGCTTTTCAGGGCTGGAGAGATGGCTCAGTGGTCTAAAGCACCTACTTAAAAAAACAAGCTCGGCAAAGCATCAGGGACCTCGGTTCAATCCCCCAGCACCACATGCCAGCCAGCCCCGCCCCCTGGTGGGCTGAGCTGGCCACACACACACACACACAC